GAGCTGGAAGCTGAGAACTGGCGACTTTGTAGTACAACTTTAGTACGAAGATGAGAACTGGCGACCTTGTAGTGCAACTTTAGTACGCGGAGCAATCTGTGGAGCTGCAAGCTGAGAACTGGCGATTTTGTAGTACAACTGTAGGTCGCGGCTGAGTCATCTCTATTCTGTATGTTGCAAAATGCGAGACAGTTGACGGTGGTTGCTTCGCTTTCGCTCCATTGGTCGGTTCCAACTTGGTTTGTCAAAGAACATCGCAGCTCGGCGAATCAGCCTGCCACATGCCCATTTCCTATAGGTTTATTCTTTTGCAAACTTCCGCCGCCGGCTTGCCCGGGAACTACTTGAATTAGGAGAGAGCAGCGGGCTACAAAAAAGTTGTTTTTGTTGATATACGACAACTAGATACCCATATAAATCACATGCAGTGTGTTTTTTCCTTTCGATACCCAGAGACTGATTTCCCTCGGTGGCGACTCTGGTTGACACCGGTTGACGCCAGGACGTACACCGGCGGAGATCTTGGACATTGTGACCAAGCACTTGGCCTCAAAAGAGGTTGATCCAACTTGATCCACCCAATTCAACTGTTTTTGTTCAAATTCTTATCTTTTTTGATATACAACCTAGTTGGAATATACATTATTGCGTGTGTTTTCACTTTTTGAGATATCATCCCGATGGGTTCGTAAGTGGACCCTATTGGTTCGTTAGGGTGACATTCAGAGAGACCCAAACATGTGACCCTGGTCCTATCCGACCCCGAACGCTAAAAGCATCCGATTGCATATTTCTGGAAGGTTTCCTCGCGGCTGCTTGCCGTTTTGCTTTGTATGTCTCCTTTGGCACAGGTCTCTCTAGCATGTTAAACAGGCCTTGATAAAGGAACAAAAACAGAATTCCTGGCATCCTGGGTATTTGCATGTTTGCTGTTATGTTATGTTTGTAGCGTTTTTTCTTACAATGACATTCATACAGACTTTCTTACATGCACCTGTCTCACTCCCAACCCAGCAGTTGTGGATCCCAGTCAGTTTTATATACGCTATAAAATTACTTAAACAAAACATAACCCAAAGGTTGTCAGTTTGTTTTATTCAATGTATTGTTCTTTGTTCATTGTGTTTTTTCCGGTTCATCACCCCCCAGCATGAACGAAGACGACTACACGTCTGACGACTTGTTTTTGACAACGGCATTGAGGCACCAGGTGCAGATGAATGGGATCAACTTGGCAACGGCTTTCCATCGCCTTGCAAAGTGTCCAAGCCATGAAGTGACGCAGGTGAGGCGAACCAATTTTCCCCAGAGGATGTGATGTTGGGCGAGGCATCGTTATCGTTTCCAGTGTTGGGCTTAGATGTTTTGCGGTGATCAAAACCAGACAGCCAGATCACTGGGTCCATGTGAGCTATTCAGGGTGGCCAAGGGGCGGAAGAGGAACTCTACCGGGGATTAGTTTCTTCTGGACGGGGCACTCCTGGAGTACAGATTGAGTAGAGAACGGTTTTGGTCCATCGCTTCCACTACTCTGTAGGTGTTTGCTACTAGCTACGTATATGCCTTAGTCCTCAATGGTTGTGGTCCAATTATACTTGCTTTCACCTTTGGTTTGCGGTGGTTCAGTGGTTCCCTCGTATTCTGCGCCATCCAACTCTTCACCGCTCGGGACATCGGCTTCACCAAAGCCGGGTAGGCACAGACCTTCCATGAAATGCTCTCGATGGCGGAGTTGAAAGCGGTGCAACAGTTGGAGATTGGGGGTGAAATGCTCACTCCCAACTGCTGCACCATCATCGCGTGGTGGCTGGGTGAAAACAAAAACACGAAGGGTTTCATGGGGGCCTTGATCTCCAGATTATCTCGATCCTTCTGGACAGTGGTGCAAATGGATGCCATCAGATGCCATCAGGGCTTGTTCGTAGAGCTTAAAACATTACTGAAGTATACTGAAGTGAAGAGTTGTTGAAGTGATCACATTCAAAGAAGCTTTGGTGCCTGGCGGTGACGCGATGCGAAGCGATCGACGTCGGATCCGTGAGACGTTGGAGTCCATCAAAGTCCAACCCAGAGCAAACCGCAGCCGTTTTGTAGAAACAAGAAGCTACTAGGAACAAGTGCATCGCTACTAGTAACAAGTGCCTTACTACTAGGAACATGAAGCTATTAGAAACAATAAATAGAATTTAAATTAAGTTAAATTAGTTGCTTCAAGGACGACCGACTAGAATCAGATCAGATCAGACGAATCTTTAGATTCCGATCCGGGCCGCACCGAGAGAGGGGACCTCCTTTTTACTGAAGTCTCCGACGTCACTCAGGCGTCAAAACGATGGATGTCACTGTCCTTTCTTTCTCTCTCCCTCTCCAGTCTGAATGATACATGAGGCTCTGAAAGTACGATGTTCACCATGGAGACCCTCCATGGACTTAGGGTCGTGTTCACCTCTCAAACACGCGTAGATGCTGAGGTTTTCGAGGATTCGATAAGGATGTCCAGAAAGTAGGTACACAAAACAAGTGGTCCTACCAGAGGCGACATCATGTTTGCATTCCGTTGCCAGTCACAGGATACGGTTGTTGCATGCTGCTGCGTGGATCTGTTTGATGTTTTTGGAGGTCTTTGTTCGGCCAATTGACCACATCTTTCAGAAAAGGACGGCACAACAACCCTTTCTTGACGGTTGGAAAACCATCGGGCAAGGTCTTGTGCCATGCTGAAAGTCTTCAACAAGCAGCTCTTGTCCGCCTTGGTCAAAGTGGTGGCCCAGAGCCCAACGTCCTGCCAGCTTTATGAGGCGAGTGGACCCACTTGGGAAAGCAGAAGGGAAGTCCCAGATGTTCCATCAACGGGTGTTGTAAATGGATCTGTCAGTGGGAGAGTCATAAGAGTCCTAAGTAATCATCCATTGTCAGTCAGGTGAGGGGGTGGTTGGTGTGTTGTGCATCGCTTATGTGAAATCATGGGATTGAGCAGAGACCGTTTTGTGGGATTTGTGGGAAACTGTATATGATTGAACACCCTTTGGCTAGAGTCTCCTGGACTATAGCACATGACATGAATGAAGATGTGTTTCTGCGCTTGTTTACCAACTGCCGACCAACTGCAAGCCGCAGTCTCAAGCCAGCTATACTATATAGCTGGATTTGCTTCTAAATAGGCTGTGCAGCCGAAAGAAAAGATGATGCGGACGCAAGCGTTGAATGGATGCTCACATGCTTTGGAGCGTTCGTGGGACACGTGTGTATGACTCGCTATGTCACGAATGACTCGCCTTTTTCGGTGCCAAAAGTCATGGGACCTCAACAAACGCTTCGCCCCTCGTAGAAGTGGTTTGAAAGGAGATTTTCCTCCGGGCTGGAGGCTATGATATTGCTTCCTTTTGGGGCAAAGTGCAATGAGGCGTGTCAACTTCTCAGTTATTTGGGACATTGTGGGAGTCAAATCTGGTAGCATTGATTTTCCCTTTGAAGTTGCTCCAATTCTTTCCCTGGCAACTTGTTTGATGAATGATGACAACTATGGCAACTTGCAAGAAGTACCAAACTGCAGGCTCCTTATGACTCCCGGATCGTCCTTGCCTTGTTTGATGATCCACATCTAGCCGGGGCAGGTTACCAACATGCTTTGGGCTTGCGGCCAATTTCAGAAGGCGCAGAAGAACAAGTCGGCAGGCCCTGAAGTGCGGGCTTTAATGCATCCAGGTCGCAATTTGCCTGGCTGTCCAGCACTAGAGTTGCGGTGTCCCGTTCGATGGTATCAATATTGTCCACGATTTCCTTGAGACAATGGTCGGAGGACTATGAAATGCTTTTATTCTGGGAAGCTATACTGTACTAGATTGGCTCACACGCTCCGATTATGGATTCGGAATGGACGATAATGGATGTGATTAGTGATGTGATTGTATGTGATTAGTTTGAGTGGCCACTCTAAGAAGGACTTATAGCAATGAGGACCTGAGGATGTCATGTCATGCCTGCGCTGGGATGCCTTTTGGGGGCCAATCATTTGTGGCGCCGTGTGGAGCAATAGGTCAATTCTGGATTGATAAAAAATAAGAAAAACACATGTCCAAGTGTAAAGTTCAAACTGTAAACAACTCAACATGTTCATGTGCCTCAAATATATTCCGATTGATCCGTGGACCAGACCTGACCCGCGGCAGAAGAGTTTCTGAGATGACCATTTTGTGGGGTCAGCGAAAGCCGGAAGCCGTCCACAACGAGGCAATCAAGATGAATTACCCTCGAAATGATCGAAGACTGCTTTTGTAAAGATCGGCTCATGTTGCTAAGGGGATTTCAGTATTCTGTGGAAAAAACAAAAGGGGACTCCTTAAAAAACGATACCTCTTCCTAAGCATCCTACGAAAACCCAATCATGAAAAACAATAGGGGGTTTACATGGGTTCACTATAAACGAACATGAGACCAACTTATTGCAATAGACAATATCGGCGCAGCCTCATATCATGTCAAAGGATTAGTGGAGACATCGCCGTTGTTTTAGCTGCTGGGTCCACTGCTTCGTCCCAAGTCGTGGGCCAAAGACCTGATGGATGCTCGTTGTGTTTGGTAGTCTCTCCTTGAGGCAGGAGATTGATGGATCAAGAGTCAAGAGCATCAAGATGGGATATCATGGGAAGATGCCCTTGTGCCGAAGTTGGACCTACCTAGTCTGTATGAGATGTTAGGCATGCCACTGTTGGATCCTGAGAGGTTTGAGCATGTCGGCATGAATGTCCTGTCCACTCACCTTCTCGTTGGTTGGAGGCTCCTGTCCACTCACCTTCTTGGAGGCGAAAGACCTTATGTTCATCCCCCCAAAGGCCAAACCGCGGTCCTTCCGCAGTCCTTCCTCAGCCCGCCTGCCAGTCCAGTCCCCCAGGCATGCTTGCGTGCCCATCCATTTCGCCAGTTCAAGGCAGCTTGGGGAGATGCACCCAAGAATGTTTTGATTCATCCCCAAAAAGAATGACTATGCCGTAAACAATGAAAAGGATCAAACAATCACTAATTACCAAACACATACTAGAACGCTAGCAACATCTAGCAACTTCGGATAGCAAGACTCAAGGAACCAAATGCCTTACCTTTGGATTGGGGTTCTTACAAGTCCCTATTCATTATCGATGCCTTTCTTTGATCTACAGAAGAAATCCAGCTTCTGATTGCATGATGAAATTTAAAGTTATTTCAACCTTGTTTGGAGAAAAACGAGGCAGCAGCTTTCGTCAGTTTGTGTGTTTGGGATCGTTTGGGTGGATCTGTTCCAGGGTAGTCTGGGTAGTCCTTATGAAATGTTGGTCGATCATTGTGGATGGAATATGGTTTGATGGAGTCGCAGGCTCCCACAGTTATACTATATAATTATAGTGATATATATATATACGACGTGTATAATTATGCGTATAGTCAAGTCTAGATAGTCTATATAGTCCAATCCCATATCTCGATATTACCAGGAACAGCGGGAACAGGAAATTGATTGTGATTATTCTTCATTAGTTGAGTCTCCTGCTGTCAAAGATAGCTCCCAGGTGTTCTTCAATAGTTCACAAGGTAGTTGTGTGTTTATTCTTTTAGACTCTTAGAAAACCGTTTGCCATATCAGATCAACAATCAAATCTAGAAGAAGACATTGACCCCTCCTGGTGCGCTTTGCTTTGCACCTCCTTTTCCTATCCAATTCATGCCGCATGTTGAGGTTCCAAAGAGACCCCCACACACAACGAGAACTGCACAACCCAAGGCTTGATCAGGCCAAGACCACGGTGCTCCTGTCGGCCTTTGTGTCGATCAGTCTGCTGTTTCGATCTACTGCCTGGCAAGAGCTTCTGGAGAGCATCAACCAAATTCTCGAGAGGCGTGTGCGCAGCGTGCGCAACGTGTGCCCGCATGCCGTTTGATGATGGTCACGTTGTCACCAATGTCACCCAACGACCCAGGTCACCTTTAAAGATGGTTGTAGATTGTAGACTTAGAGGTATAGTTCCCCAGTAAAAAGCTCGCCAGCTTCCCCCAGTCTGAGGCGGACGGCTGGAGCCAGTCGAGGTTTTCTCGAGACCGACTGTTTCTGATTTGCCCGGGTACATCTCCGCCGATGCGGTGCTCTGTAGGAAAAAGTTGAGTGAATAGATCTGAAGAGATAAATGATAAATATGTGTTGGACAGGATCGGCTTGGAGATGAGTGTAATATATATATATATCCATATATATATATATATATTTTGAGCCCTCTCCGCAAATGTGTGAAGTGTTTGTGTGCGTGTCTTTGTTGCAAAGCTTGGAAGCTCTTTGAATTGAAAGCGAAAACGCCAGGAAAAGCCATGAGCTCTCCGAGACGCAAGTGGCGGAGCTTGCACGGGCGAAGAAGCTGAACCGACGCCCCAACTGAGCGGCTTCGGCCCCGTGGCGCTTTTCGGAGAGTGGACGGAAGAAAACAGCACTTTGCACTTTAAGTTTCTCTAAAAATCTAGGAATCAAATTATTAGTGCGAGCACTTCCTCAAGGAAACTCCCCTCCGCCGCCTTTAGGGCGGCGCGGGGAGCTTCCTTGAAGAAGCGTGAGCTATCCTGCGTCCAGTAGCTAGGAGCTGACTCACTTACTCCCTTAATTAAGTAAGCGCCTACTTAATTCAGCCGGAGGCAGGGCCACGGGCTAAAAAATAGCGCAAAAGATCTAAATCTAAAGGTCTAAAGAAGCGGGTGTTTCGATGAGATGAGATGAGATGTTCGGATATACAGTATGTCCGCTATGGCTGCATGCCTGGAAGATACATAAAACACATGACGAGTCAACCTGTGGGTCACTGGATCCTTTTAAAGCCAGATCCATTTTGCATCGGTTGGTCAATAGAAATAGAAGATGTTTGTATGGTTGACCTGCCAGGTCTTTCATTTCAAGTTGGTGAATAGACAAATCTGCCGAAACTGGAGTTTGATCCAGGAATCGCATGGGTGCAAATCGGAGGGCGGATGTCCTCAATGGGCTGGTGTTCTCCCGGCTTTGGCATCCAACAAACTGCTGATGAAGTAGAGTCACTTGTCTGTACCTGTACATGGCCACTTTCCTTGCCTATGTGAATCACCATGAAGGTATCTTCTGGATATTCTAAAACAATGATCTTTCCTGATTAACCCGGTACCCTTCTACCTGGCACAGGAGTGAAGGATAACGCAAAAACGCCACTGCTGAAGCTAATTGTAAAGGCATTGTTTTCTTTAAGCTGAGTGTTCTGTCGCAGAAATGGGCAAGTGCTTGGATCATTGAACAAATTCAATTGGTGTTCGGCACATGTTGAAATACACCACGGAAGCATATGCAAGTGTGCTACATAAATCAATCTTTTGCGGAACAGTTTGTGCTGCAGTTGTTTGTCATATACATCTATTTACATATTGCTTCAAAGTACAGTAACCTGAAGTGTGCTACTGGCATATCATCCCAATAGATTAAAAAAGGAATTGGTCAAAACTGATACCCACAAGTGGGTGAACATCTCCTTTGATAGTCTATTCATGTCTATTCTGCACATGTTTGAGTGATACGTCAAGGTTTCAGCATGTATACATATGTATACACATGCTCAGATGGTTTCGTTCGGAGGGTACCCGACAGAAAGTAGGCCTTTGTGGATTCCGTATTGGAGAAAATTCAAACCCCGGTAGCTGCACCAACTTGGATTTGTGACGTAGGAAGTGCAGTGTCATGAAATGCCAAGCCATTCTACTTGTCAAAACCTATTTATTGGGGATTGGTACCTTGTCGTCAATCTATTTCAATTGGATTTTGGGGACCGACATGCTCTCATCAGGATTCATTGGGATCCAACAGAGTCGCACTGGGCACTGTCCACCGGCCCTCGGCCATGTACCAGGAGCTGGGATGTGTTTGATCAAAGAAGGGTACCTGAAAGGTTGGAGATTTGGTCAGGCTCACTGTGAGCTTCACTTCGCTTCCAAGTTCTCGCACAGAGCATTCAGTGGACTGATGAGTCCAAGCAGCAATACAAATCGATACCGGTCGCTGGGTTCAGTCACAGAAGTTGTGGCTGAAAAACAAGCCACTCAAGAGTCGACTTGGCGAACTGCCACACTTGCGAGTGACCTGCTTGTCTCCCAGTAGGTACTGGTAGAAAAAGAGAGTCCGGCGTATCTGGATCGAGCATACCTGAAGGCCTAGGCAGCAGAGGCATCTTCAGGTGATTGGCTTTCCTCCCCAGGCTGTTTTGACGAAGTGAAGGATGTTCTTTTATGACGTGGCCGTTTCAGCCTGTGGGCTGAGAGCCAGAACTGCGAGCGGGAACAGCTCGCCGCAGAAGTGCAAATGCACAGCTCAAAGTACGTAGAGCGCGAAGTGCTCGCTGCGGAACCCGCTTGCAGCAATAGATACAGTACATCAAGTGAAGACATGTCAAGGCATTCATGCAAAAACTTGATCACAACTACCTCAGATTTCAGAAAGTTTGGCAGGGACGGTTTTCAAGAACCCAAGATTATGTTGTTTGTGGATGGTACCCTGGCAAGCTTGACATGCGAATACTCTTGGTGTCGACCCCGCTACCCGCTCAACAATATTCACACGGGTTTGCTGGCATTGTGCTCGGCAACTGCAGACGTAGCTCTTTTGACTCTTGACACTATTGGTGGTCAAAGGCTTTTCTCTTGAGATTCAAAGTAACAAGAAGCTAATAGTAACAAGTGCATCGCTACTAGTAACAA